AAACATGTACGGCATTGTTCACAAAAAGGCTGAAATATCTATTCATACTTTCATGAGGATCAATGGTGCAGAATGGAAAGTTCTCTGCGGGTACAGAAGATTTTGTTAAAACATTAAAAAATGTCGACTTTCTATGCACAAAATAAAAACAAACCAATAACTGTGATTGTTATTGAAACTCATGCACTTTTTTTCACATCATACCCAACATTCTATAAAAAAAACAAATAAAATGATCTTTACTGTGATAACCTTACTGAGAATGTAGATCTCTTTCTTTACTTACCGGTAATCCAACAATTCCCATTTTAAGATTTGTGCCAACACGACCGATCAATGGCTTTGGTTTTGCTTCTTCTTTCTTTTTTGGTGGCATCTTTGTTCTGTTTTTAATCAACAAGTAACAACTATCTTAAGATAACAACTTAAAACGATGATTTCAAACAAATGAATAGAGTTGTATAAAATAACAAAGTCTGTACAGTATTTCAAAATTTTCAAGGTATTTCATGCAACAACAATTGCAGCACAAAAAAGGCCGAAGAAGCAAAAGTTACGTTAAATTGATGATGTATAATTGTATAACTATTAGTGATTGGCTAAAAATGTCAAATGAGAATAAACTAGTAGCCATCATTCTTACTAGTTTATAAGTCGGAAAACGGAAAATATGTCGCTCGGTCCATTGAAATCCTAGCAACAAGAGCGGTTATTCTAAGGTGAAGCGAACACAAACGGAAATGGAAGGAAAAGATATCTTTTGGCAAATTAAGTAAACACTTCAGCAGAAAACCTGTTCTATAAGTTTTCTCGTTGAAATAGCAAATATATATATGACGTACAGTTAGTTAATAAAGCATGTAACTGATACACCCTATACTACACAAATCAGCAGATTGCTGCAGAGTATCAATAGATTCGTCACAAGTTTTTATCACACGTTGTAGTCTTAACGAAATCGTTCGCCAAATGTGCATCAAGAAGCATTTGTAAGCCTAAAATTATCTTTAGAAATTCCTTAAACTCTGCAAGTGATCCACGCACAACCTGTACAGATTTTACAGATTCTGTTCGAATTCTGACACAAACCTTGTCTACATTCCATATTGAATTTGCAGGCTTCTGTTGAGATATGATCCGAATTTTATGCAGATTTTTTTACGCAGAAAACTCTTCTGAATGGAGGAGTACGTACCTTCGGTCGTGCCACAAATCTGGCTAGGTACAACTGAAAGTGTAGCTTAAAAACGAAGAAAGCATATGAGATCATCCTTCAAAAATAAAATTTATAATAAACCAGATATATGAGAAATTATGAAATGATAGGAATCTTTTCGGGAAGCTTCGCATATATTTTGAAATCATCCAGCTCACTATATAGCATGCTTTATTGATATAAAAAATTCTCCTATTCAAAACTTTGAAATAGTGTTAAAAAATGACAAAAAAGGTAGCACTTTTTAAACTACTGGCTCAATTTGTACTTCAAACGCGTATACCGTTGGAATCGATCGATCTAAAAAATCATCCGGTCGATCGAACTTTCATATTATGTAACCTGTCAAGGTGATCGAACACTGAAATTGAACTAAAACCTCAATAATTCCTGGTATTCTGAATTTTCTAGGTAAATTGGCTCTCAGTTAGCCGGGATATAAAGTAGGAGTTTCTCTAGCGACAGCATGCTATAATAGTAAGTTCGATGATTTCAAAATATATCCGAAGCTTCTTGAAACGATTCCTATCACTCTCATATATTGGGTCTTTTATGAATTTTTCTTGAACGATGATCTCATATGTTTTCTCCATTGTGCATCCACGGCTGAACGATTATCGATTAGCTTATATCTAATACTTACTCTCGTGAATATATTTATAGCACTAACAGCTAGTTTTTCAATGGGAATGTTTTATAAACATTCAAAATAATAGAAGTTAAGCAAGTCATACCGCGTTTAAGTTTAATGAAACAAACTCGATCCAAAATATTCGAATGCATAAAATCAAACTGTTCTCGCTTGTTAAACGAGTATCCAGAATTTGTTGTTCCTGAGGTGAACTATGCGCAAACTAAGATTTATCATTCAAATTGAGCAAATCAGTAGTCTTAATATGTTTAGCATTCTCTACCCATTACAATGTGTTTATCTATTATAGTCTATGTTTAGCTATAGTTTCAGTATGTTGCGAAGCTATACACAAGGCTTATTAGTCGTTACTGATGTAGAGTTGCATTTTTGTTTGTCTACTCAGGCGCATAAGACCTCTTGGTCTTTTCGCGCGTGTTTGAGATCTGTTTATCTCGTATACAGTGGAAATTTGCATTTACTGTATGAGTAGAGATGAACGGTAACGGTAAAAGATATTTTTTATTGAAGTTAAGCACGGTAAAGTTTTGAAGCTTTTACCGTAAGCCGGTAACCGAAGCGTCGATAACGGTAACACGTTTTTATCGTTACCGTTCATCCCTGTGTATGAGAGAATGTTCTTCAGTACTTCGTAACTTTAGTTATGTCCTGGACTTACTCTTCCTAGTTTCACTGACATTGTTGACTCGAACAGGTTAGTATCTGCTCGAGAATGTCAGTCCAATAAAAAAACACATTTATATCTTAACTTATCCTCGCGGAAAAAAATAGTTGCACACAGTATTTTTAAGATATTTTCCTTACGAAAATATACTTTTACAAAAATGATCGCATATTCTAATAGCGCTTGGAATTCTCTACAATTCTGTATATTTACATCTTGACTTGCACTCATTCGCTGAAAAATAAATTGACTGCGATGAAGGCACCCTCATCATCCGATTCTCACGGACTGTATTTTGTTACTATCCTTTTGATTTGTTTTTTAAACTTATCATCTCTGTAAAAATTAGTTTTTATAAAAGTAGTTATATATTCTGATAGCGCTTGAAATTCTCTATCACCCTTTATATTTATATATCGTCTTGCATTTGTGTATTCAAAAAAATTTTAAGCGCAGCGAAGGTACCCAAATTGACATGTACCAAAAACTTCGTTTTTTCGACACCTATTCTGCTTTTTTTCAAACTATACTTACCATACGAATACGTTTAAAAAGATGTGATTATTCACTCTGATAACGCTTGAAATTCTCTATTACTCTGTGTATTTATGTCTTCTCTTAGTTTTATTTGCTGAAGAATAATTTAAGAATTACTAAAGCACCATCCTTAACGAACTCTAAAAAATATTTGCCATCAGATAATAGCCTCTCAAGGCTGGCAAAGTTCAGGATGATAGAGAATTAAAAGCATTATCAGAACATACTATTACTCGTATAAAGAAATATTTCTGTAGTGATAATAAGTTCAAAAATAAAAGCGAAAGAGATAGTAAAAAATGCAATTGTTTAGAGTTTGTTAAGGATGGTGCCTTAGTAATTCTTAAGCTATTCTTCAGCAAATAAAAGCAAGAGAAGACATAAATACACAGGGTAATAGAGAATTTCAAGCGCTATCAGAATATATAACTACTTTTATAAAAACTAATTTTTACAGAGATGATAAGTTTAAAAAACAAATCAAAAGGATAGTAACAAAATACAATCCGTGAGAATCGGATGATGAGGGTACCTTCATCGCAGTCAATTTATTTTTCAGCGAATGAGTGCAAGTCAAGATGTAAATATACAGAATTGTAGAGAATTCCAAGCGCTATTAGAATATGCGATCATTTTTGTAAAAGTATATTTTCGTAAGGAAAATATCTTAAAAATACTGTGTGCAACTATTTTTTTCCGCGAGGATATATCTTAATAAAAACGAATATGGGACAGTGTAAGCTGATCAACCCATATTTAGTCCAGACCTAAGAGGTCAGATGCTCTGTCAAGGTAGATTTATATGAGGAGCTTAACGATTTGAAATTAGTTAATATATTTTACGCAGTTGTTATGGAAAAAATGCGACTTGCTTTCGATCTCTTTAAACGAAGAGAGCACGATATCTTGAGTATAACTTCCTCTACTGAAAGATTGGCCAGAATTACTTTAACGAAAGAGTTACTTCTAGGAACTGTGCATTCAAGTATTTGTTCAGTACTCTCAACTAAAGAGGATTCGATATAGAAATAAAATCCCTGTACTTGTGCATGTCTGTCTAACAGCGAAAGAACTCTTTTTTGCAACCTTCATGGTGTAACAACTTGTCACGAAATTTGTTTGTTCTGTAGACGATTGATACTAAGGGTAGCGAAACTAAATCAAACGTTGATAACCAATTTATCCGGTAAACCATCGCTCCTCTGTATATTTATCTATACGTTTGTAAATAACATTTTTTAATATAATAATAACAATAATAACAATAATAATGACATTAATATAATATAACATGAATGAAAAAGAAGATAACCATAATCAACAAAATAAAAATATGTGCAGTTTTGTTTGTCAACACGGTTTCTGCTAGGAAAATTGCAAAAAATACGGATACATCACAGCATATAATAGATAAGAGAAAAATTGTCAATTGCATAAAATTTTCACACAAAATAAAATATTTACAGCAGTTAGTTGAAAAATAAAAAGTATAAAAATTCAGATTCTCCCTTATAAATAGATGTACAAGTTGTTCAGAGAAAAACTGTTCTCTTATGAGAAAAGTATACATCACAGTTTTGGTGTTATTAAACCTTTTGTCATTGTTGTTTCTTTAGTGGTAGTCGAAATATTTGGTTTGATATTTGAATCTGAGACATGAAAAAATACTAGCATAATAGTGACAGCTAAACATGTATGCATTAAAAAAACAACCACTATTGATAATAATGTTAATCGCTTTTGATCGATCGATATAACTGGCCAAAATGTAATAATTAACACACTACTACTAATTAACGAACCAAAAATTGTTAATAACCATTGTAACCAATTGATTTGAATCATCCATAAGATAGAAATAGGAATAAAAATTGTTAATGAATAACCATAAACACAAAGTAATTCTAAATATGTATATTCAATTCTGTTTAAACGCCAACGAAAAAATAAATACATAAATGTCGGCATCAACCACCAGTAAAGAAATAAAATCTTTAAGATAAATTAGAAAAAAAACATATAAATGTCTAAAATTCAGAGAACACTTACTATTCTTTTTGATCTCTCTTTATTTTCATATTTAAAAAATTTCTCTGACTAATAATGCAAACAGCCGATATACTTACAGTTGATGATAATGTTATTTTACTAAAATCAATTTGAAACTCGGCTGATGATAAATGAAAATAATTAGTTATATTGCCGCTAATCGCGATTGTGAAAATAAATGTAACACAAATCCAAAACGGTCCGTAGAGATCAGGATTTTGACGGATATTAGCATCAAAATTCGATCGCGGTGTTATGCTATCTAGAATAAAAATGATACTTTGATTTAGACAATCTTGATGCCTCAAATGACCGTTGTCAATTGTCCGTCGTGTGTCTCAGAATCATGGAAGCCTTGAATCTATTGCCTCCATCGCCTCTCGTGAATTGTTACATCAACGTTAGGACAGCAGTTTAAGCATACCTAATAAACGTTGTAAAACTTGTTTTGTATCGACCTGAAAATATTGCTGATAATAATCAAATTGCCATAAACGTGGTTGTTGTTTCTGATCGACTGATGAAGATGTCACGGGCCGGGATAATGGAAATTGATCAGAATTTGTTATATTATACATACGGGCATTACGATTATTATTGCTAACATTATTCTCGTTATCATCATCATCATCTTGATCAATTGCTGAATTCGGAAAACTTATAAATACATGCGTTTGACTTTTCATTTGTGGAACAGTTCCTAATGCTTGTTGTTCATTTAAACTATCATCATTTAACAATGGTCGATTATCCATAAGATCTAAAATAAAAGAAAAATGTATTAAATTGTTATAGCCATTATCACAAATGATGAGTGGAAACGATGAAATACAATGTTCTGTATGAGTATCTGGTCTGCACGGTTGGCTTAGCTTAACCAGTGCCGCACGTGATGGAACAAATATACTGATCTACTTTAATGTCGATGTCCTCTGAAGATTTATGCCTCATACGGTTTCGAACAAGAATCTTTAACTTTATTTTGATGTTTTATTGTTTTATCTTTTTATTGATTTTGCACATTTTTCGCGAAAGATTCTTGTCTAAAATAGCAAGATTTGTTAGTCATCAGCTTGATTGTCGATAGACTGTTTTCCAGTGAGAAAACTATACACAGTTTTGGTGTTATTAAAACTTTTTGTCGTTGCCATGTTCACTGATCGATAAGTAACTCGATCTGAATAGCTAAATTAGCGTTATCAGGGCTGAATCAGTTATAAGACGGAAAAGCTTCATATAAATAACAAAGATTCATAAATTCTGTGGAAAATTTAGAATAGCACAAAAATTAGATAAATTTGACTATTATAAATATTTAAAAACAGTATTATCTCGAGTAGGAAGATACTATCGAGAATACTTTCTAAGTCCTTAGCATCATGAATCAGTAAGAAGCATAAAGGAAGGAAAAAACTTTTTGTGGAAAATCATTTTCAGTTTTTCGGAGATGACTCAGAGTCTAATTCAACCCTGAACTAAAATAGCTGAATTAACTTTTCAAACTAAGCTGACCATCTACTAGTGTATATAAATTTATACGAAAATTCTGTTAACTTTTGACATCATTCATGTCGAGAGGCAATCGAATTTTTACATGTCTGCGTTGGCACCAAAAGGCCAGCCCTCTTATATACATGGAAAAAAGAAAACCAAAATAGGTTATTTTATGCATTTTTTCGTTTGCAAGGTTCTTGTCTGAAATACAGAAATGTCCATCAAAAATCTCAAAGGTTAAAAAAATATAATGGATACGTCATAAAAAATGATACTCGTTGTACTTTCTATTTTTCTTGTGTTCTTTTAGGACCTTAAGGTTAATGTTTTTTTAAAAGATGCTTCGCGAAATACTGTACAAAACTGTACCTAAAGTTTAATTTCAGAACTTTAATCAACCTACGCAAATTAGACAAAAGACGAAAAAAAATAAAAACTTTGTAAACTGAAAACTGATTTCCTGTGTTAACGATTTGAAAGTAAGAAAGTTGAATTAGCCATTTCTTAGCCCTAACTTTGCTCTAACTTTTAGCTACACCTCAAATTTTTTCACATCTAAACCCATTGTGAAATAATAATTTTTTGTCGGTCGTCACACATTTTTTCATTAATTTTTTTAATTCTGTGTATGGTGGTGCTTTCAGTAAAACTTCCATAAAACAAAAGATGTTTTGATCGATTTATTTCTTTACCAGAAACGATCGCTCTATTCTACCTAACTGCAAATCAAAATTTCGATCACGTTTTCCGCTTCTTCCTTGAGCACATTATTGGACAGTAAAAAAATCTTTCTAGAGCAGATGGTGTGCTCGAGAACGAAGTTTCAAAAATACATTAAAAATTGAATCTAAAAATATCATGATATTTTTAGATTCAATTTTTAATGTATTTTTGAAACTTCGTTCTCGAGCACACCATCTGCTCTAGAAAGATTTTTTTACTGTCCAATAATGTGCTCAAGGAAGAAGCGGAAAACGTGATCGAAATTTTGATTTGCAGTTAGGTAGAATAGAGCGATCGTTTCTGGTAAAGAAATAAATCGATCAAAACATCTTTTGTTTTATGGAAGTTTTACTGAAAGCACCACCATACACAGAATTAAAAAAATTAATGAAAAAATGTGTGACGACCGACAAAAAATTATTATTTCACAATGGGTTTAGATGTGAAAAAATTTGAGGTGTAGCTAAAAGTTAGAGCAAAGTTAGGGCTAAGAAATGGCTAATTCAACTTTCTTACTTTCAAATCGTTAACACAGGAAATCAGTTTTCAGTTTACAAAGTTTTTATTTTTTTTCGTCTTTTGTCTAATTTGCGTAGGTTGATTAAAGTTCTGAAATTAAACTTTAGGTACAGTTTTGTACAGTATTTCGCGAAGCATCTTTTAAAAAAACATTAACCTTAAGGTCCTAAAAGAACACAAGAAAAATAGAAAGTACAACGAGTATCATTTTTTATGACGTATCCATTATATTTTTTTAACCTTTGAGATTTTTGATGGACATTTCTGTATTTCAGACAAGAACCTTGCAAACGAAAAAATGCATAAAATAACCTATTTTGGTTTTCTTTTTTCCATGTATATAAGAGGGCTGGCCTTTTGGTGCCAACGCAGACATGTAAAAATTCGATTGCCTCTCGACATGAATGATGTCAAAAGTTAACAGAATTTTCGTATAAATTTATATACACTAGTAGATGGTCAGCTTAGTTTGAAAAGTTAATTCAGCTATTTTAGTTCAGGGTTGAATTAGACTCTGAGTCATCTCCGAAAAACTGAAAATGATTTTCCACAAAAAGTTTTTTCCTTCCTTTATGCTTCTTACTGATTCATGATGCTAAGGACTTAGAAAGTATTCTCGATAGTATCTTCCTACTCGAGATAATACTGTTTTTAAATATTTATAATAGTCAAATTTATCTAATTTTTGTGCTATTCTAAATTTTCCACAGAATTTATGAATCTTTGTTATTTATATGAAGCTTTTCCGTCTTATAACTGATTCAGCCCTGATAACGCTAATTTAGCTATTCAGATCGAGTTACTTATCGATCAGTGAACATGGCAACGACAAAAAGTTTTAATAACACCAAAACTGTGTATAGTTTTCTCACTGGAAAACAGTCTATCGACAATCAAGCTGATGACTAACAAATCTTGCTATTTTAGACAAGAATCTTTCGCGAAAAATGTGCAAAATCAATAAAAAGATAAAACAATAAAACATCAAAATAAAGTTAAAGATTCTTGTTCGAAACCGTATGAGGCATAAATCTTCAGAGGACATCGACATTAAAGTAGATCAGTATATTTGTTCCATCACGTGCGGCACTGGTTAAGCTAAGCCAACCGTGCAGACCAGATACTCATACAGAACATTGTATTTCATCGTTTCCACTCATCATTTGTGATAATGGCTATAACAATTTAATACATTTTTCTTTTATTTTAGATCTTATGGATAATCGACCATTGTTAAATGATGATAGTTTAAATGAACAACAAGCATTAGGAACTGTTCCACAAATGAAAAGTCAAACGCATGTATTTATAAGTTTTCCGAATTCAGCAATTGATCAAGATGATGATGATGATAACGAGAATAATGTTAGCAATAATAATCGTAATGCCCGTATGTATAATATAACAAATTCTGATCAATTTCCATTATCCCGGCCCGTGACATCTTCATCAGTCGATCAGAAACAACAACCACGTTTATGGCAATTTGATTATTATCAGCAATATTTTCAGGTCGATACAAAACAAGTTTTACAACGTTTATTAGGTATGCTTAAACTGCTGTCCTAACGTTGATGTAACAATTCACGAGAGGCGATGGAGGCAATAGATTCAAGGCTTCCATGATTCTGAGACACACGACGGACAATTGACAACGGTCATTTGAGGCATCAAGATTGTCTAAATCAAAGTATCATTTTTATTCTAGATAGCATAACACCGCGATCGAATTTTGATGCTAATATCCGTCAAAATCCTGATCTCTACGGACCGTTTTGGATTTGTGTTACATTTATTTTCACAATCGCGATTAGCGGCAATATAACTAATTATTTTCATTTATCATCAGCCGAGTTTCAAATTGATTTTAGTAAAATAACATTATCATCAACTGTAAGTATATCGGCTGTTTGCATTATTAGTCAGAGAAATTTTTTAAATATGAAAATAAAGAGAGATCAAAAAGAATAGTAAGTGTTCTCTGAATTTTAGACATTTATATGTTTTTTTTCTAATTTATCTTAAAGATTTTATTTCTTTACTGGTGGTTGATGCCGACATTTATGTATTTATTTTTTCGTTGGCGTTTAAACAGAATTGAATATACATATTTAGAATTACTTTGTGTTTATGGTTATTCATTAACAATTTTTATTCCTATTTCTATCTTATGGATGATTCAAATCAATTGGTTACAATGGTTATTAACAATTTTTGGTTCGTTAATTAGTAGTAGTGTGTTAATTATTACATTTTGGCCAGTTATATCGATCGATCAAAAGCGATTAACATTATTATCAATAGTGGTTGTTTTTTTAATGCATACATGTTTAGCTGTCACTATTATGCTAGTATTTTTTCATGTCTCAGATTCAAATATCAAACCAAATATTTCGACTACCACTAAAGAAACAACAATGACAAAAGGTTTAATAACACCAAAACTGTGATGTATACTTTTCTCATAAGAGAACAGTTTTTCTCTGAACAACTTGTACATCTATTTATAAGGGAGAATCTGAATTTTTATACTTTTTATTTTTCAACTAACTGCTGTAAATATTTTATTTTGTGTGAAAATTTTATGCAATTGACAATTTTTCTCTTATCTATTATATGCTGTGATGTATCCGTATTTTTTGCAATTTTCCTAGCAGAAACCGTGTTGACAAACAAAACTGCACATATTTTTATTTTGTTGATTATGGTTATCTTCTTTTTCATTCATGTTATATTATATTAATGTCATTATTATTGTTATTATTGTTATTATTATATTAAAAAATGTTATTTACAAACGTATAGATAAATATACAGAGGAGCGATGGTTTACCGGATAAATTGGTTATCAACGTTTGATTTAGTTTCGCTACCCTTAGTATCAATCGTCTACAGAACAAACAAATTTCGTGACAAGTTGTTACACCATGAAGGTTGCAAAAAAGAGTTCTTTCGCTGTTAGACAGACATGCACAAGTACAGGGATTTTATTTCTATATCGAATCCTCTTTAGTTGAGA